TTCAATGTGATGTCTTCCTCCAAATGAAGCAATGGTTTGGTCGGGAACGTTCAAAGGGTTAAGTGAGTAAGAATTCTGGGATACTGTTACCAGCAAACAATATTTTCCTACACATGCACATGAGAGCAAAGTGATAAATGATGGAGAAAAAGGAAAGGCAATTAACAGGTCTTAATAGGGAATCCTGTTTACACGGAGTTAGTTTTCCATACGCATCCAGAAAGTTAAACAAATCCTCTCAGCTTTGCATGTCACCAAATTGCAGCTTACTTCTGCCTACCACGATTTCTCCTGGCAGTCTCTGAAAATTCCGCTCTAAGAACTAACAATCTTCTGTTCTTTACCTCAACTGAATATTACTAAGGCCAAAATTGCAAACTTAAAAGAGACTGAATGTTCACGCTGTGAGTTTTGCCGTTTAGTTATCAGACATGAATATTGTAAAATCTGCCTTTCTCTCTGAAAATATTTCTACTTGCTCTTTTTCCATTGAAATTTGGTAGTAACATTGATACACCCTGCGAGAGGAAGCAGGGTGTTTTCGCTGTCAGGGAAAACATGTCGAGCTACGTAGAGAAGAGAAAAGGACAAGCTGCTGCTTCAGGAGCTGGCTGCCGCGCGCCCTCCTGTGGCTGCAAGACGTATTACTACTCGTCAGAAACAGAATTCGACTTGGCTCAAGAGAAAACGTATCTTGTACTGTCAAAAAAAGAATCAGAAAACGTCTTAGTAAGAGATCAACCCACATTAATGTGCTGGGATGCTCAGAGAAAAGAATGAGGCCCTTGTCACTGGGATAACAATAATTCTTTTCACTCAGTGCCTTCTTGCAGATTCATTGGCCAGAGAGCTAGAAATAGTTTAAAATGCCATCATCAAAAGGACTATTTACTTTCCCAAATCTGGCTCCATTTCTCATGGAAGTAATAGTAGTTTCCGTGCAGAATGTTATTTTCCTCTTTAGATGGCATCTCTAAGACTACAACTAACTGCCTGTTAAAATAAGTTACAATTTATTTGTTGTGACAAACATGTTGAGCTTTTTCTATTGTGTAAGATACTATGTGAGATAAAATGATTGAGAAAACTTTATTATTTCTCTCCAGGATCTTAGAATTAGAAAAGAAACAAATGTCACTTACAAAAATCATTATAACCCAAGACAGAACATGGAAGGTGCTATGTGAGTGGTACCAAAAAAAAAAAAAAAAAAAATTATGCTTTAGGGGCTTAGAGCAGAAAGAAATTAAATTAGATCCTGGCCATGTGTTCAGGGAAAGCTACATAAGGGAAACAATTGAGCTGGGCCTTGGAGGATGAGTAGGATTTAAGCAAACAAAAGTGAGCGCGAGAGGCCATTCTCCATGAACAGAATAACATGAGCGCAGGCATGGAGACAGAAAACCAGAGCATAGGAAAGCAGATCGGCCAACTGATACATAGCCCATCATACAGTCAACAGTGCAACCAGAAATCATTTAACATAAGCAAATGCAAAATCAAAGGTTTTTTTCTATTTTTAAATATTTTCTCCAATGCAAAAGTGATTAACTATCACATATCACAGTTTCACGTTTCAAGCTTCCATTTTTAAGAGAACTTTCCTCAGTCTTCTAATGAAATGCACACAATTCATTAGTATACATGCTACTCTTTTAAAAGCAGTCGAAGCACCAAAAATAAAACAAAACTTCCCACTTCAGAGAGCAAAAAAAAAAAAAAATTGGAAAAGGATTACTATATAATCTACTGATTGTCTAACCCACTTGTTTAATTCAAAAGATTGTGTTAGCAGTGAGTAAGTGAACTTGATTGCAAAGGAAAATATGAATGTCCAAGTAAAATTCTTCAAGACACAGTGACTTAAAGTAAGTTAAATATTTAAAATATTTGTTATTCAGAAATAACTCACTACGAAGCTTGCTTCTAGTTTATTTTTTTCTCTTAGCAAAATCTTACCGATTTTCAGAATCAACCCACCAATATAAAAAACTAGTGAATAATGGTGTCACAACTTCCACAAATAAATCATTTCAAAATATGTCTTGAAAATACCACAATTTGGCAGTTTTGCAGACCACTTATTAGCCAGATTCCTAAGAGTCGAGAGCACTTCCATAAACCATTTTTATCTTGAGATTCAAGTGTGAGCTGATTCAACAATTTCCCCACTGCTTCCAACAGATAATAAGACACAGGAATAAAAACAGTCTTCCAAGTAGGATGGTACCTCTATCTGGGGCCCAAAAGAGAGAAAGAGAGAGAGTGACCAATCAAAATTTATTTTAGATAGATCTTCACTTCCTCTCCTTCTCCCTCTAAGGTGGCATCCAGGTGTGGCTCATACCATGCACAACATACCATACACCATATGTACAAACATGGTTTATACCATAGTCGAGAGGAAGACTTGAGGAAATGCTGCCAACCACTTGTGGTTTGCGTGCCCTGCTGGCATCGTAAGAAGAGTCGTTGCCTACCATAGCTTAAGATACAATCAGTGGTGATTCAGCCTCTCTTTCCTCTCATGGGCAATTTATACCCCTCTTTCTCTGGGGATGACTCACATTTGTCCCCGTGCATGCTCCATCAACATTGCTCCTTCTAGAGCCACCCAGCTCCCTCTATGATAACATCCTCTGGAAAGCTCCAGACCAGACTCTCAGATACTTCCACATCTAGACTGTGCCACGGAGAAAGCCCTCTTTCTCCCTGACCACATCTTTCAGTAAAGCTTGTTGAAACTTGGCTGCACCCCAGGTTGGTAAAGTGCAGACTATAAAGCAGCCACTTCACAGATCCCCACCCTCTCCATCCCTGACACACACCCCACCAAAAAAAGGACAAGTTGAGACACAGGCATAAACACTGTATTCTCCTCTTCCACTTTCTCTTTCTCATCCTATTGTTCTCTCAGGGACTTTTCTTGCCTGCACCTCTGTTACATAAGCTTATGATCTAGGACAGTCGTTCTCAAAATGTAGTCTCGAGACTAACAGGATCAGCATTACCTGAGATTTGTAAATAAATTTGTAAGTTCAGACCTACTGAATCAGAAACTCTGGCCATTGGGGCCAAAAATCGTTGTTTCAGCAAGCCTTCCAAATAATTCTGATAAATGCTAAATTTGAGAACTATTGATCTAGACTATCAGTTTTATCTTATTTCATGACAAATAAGGGAGAGAACAAAATTAATGAATTTTTTTAGACAATAACTGGAATTGCAAAACTTGCTGCAAAATCCTTTGGATGTCAGAAGCTGAGTATTACCTAGATTCTTCAATTTGCAGATTTTCTGTTAAAAAAAATGAAAGAAAGAAAGAAAGAAAAGAAAAAGAGAAGAAAAAGAAAATCTTCCTTTAGGCAGCTACGATCAGGGCACAGGGCAAGAGAAAGAGAGAGAGAGAATAATTGATTTAAAATATGAAATCCATTTCACTTCCAATGACTCACTATTCACAGGATGAAGACAACACTCTTTAATCACGATGTTCTTAAATTCAGGTCCTCCTTCAAAATCAGGCTTTAATCAACTTTTCCAAATTTATTTCTTATTCTCTCCTTTAGAATTTCTTTACTCCCGCCATATAGGTTTATTCATATTATCTTTTGATTTTTTCCTGTTTCTAAACAAGTGACTATGCCACTTATTGTTAAAATATTCTCACCCCTTTCCCTGCACGTATCTGAATCGTACCCATCCTTCAAGACCAGCTCATTACTCATTCCTTATGAAACCTGCTTTGGCCATTCCAGACTGATATCTACCGATAAACCTCTATTAAGTTAATAGACTCTTTTTATTAAATATCTGGCAGTAGGTTTTTTATATTACCTAGGAATTATTAGATTTTTAAAATTTAACACAAAATAATCACTTTATGTTAAAAATTGTACTTTAACAGGAAGAAAAAAACAAAGACAATATTGCTCTTCATTTTGACAAGAGAAGTCAAGAATCATCCAAAGAAAACATCGTCCAGGAAAGAGAAGAAGATTTGCCCCTTTTTGAAGTCAATGAAAATAACCAAAGCAGTAAATCCCCCAATTTTTTTGCAAATAGACAGACACTGAATAAAGGCTATAGTATCAATGACAGAAAGAATGCCTACGATGACCTAAAGATGTCCCTTTATACTGAATCCACTGAGAACAAAAGGGTTGAGGGTAGAGATGATGCTATCAGCAGACTACATGACCAAGAAGAATATGGCGCAGCTCTCATCAGAAACAACATGCTACACGTAATGAGGCCAGCGGCTGTGGTTAAAGTCTCGGGGGAAGAAAATAAAAAGAACAAACCGAGACATGTTCTGAGCAAAGTTCCAGCAGGTGTGAAGTTCGATAAAGCCCACTCAAAAGATAAAAAGACTCATCAAAGAGATCCCCAGGTCCGGAATACTCCAGTAAAAAACAAAAGCACCCATCAAATCCAACACAACGCTGACTATCGAAAACAGCTCCTCAAAGTCAAAAAAATCCCCAGTGATTTTGAAGGCAGTGGTTACACAGATATTCAAGAGAGAAAAGACAATGATATCTCTCCTTTCAGTGGGGATGGACAACCTTTTAAGGTCATTCCTGGCAAAGAAGGAGCTATTGGTTCTGACCCAGAAGGTACAGATATTCAGACAGGGTTTTCAGGCCCAAGTGAAGCTGAGACTATCAATCCTGACACAAGAGGGCCAGGTTATAATGAGATCCCAGAGAGAGAAGAAAGTGGTGGAAATACTATTGGAACCAGGGAAGAAACAGTGAAAGAAGCAGATGCTGTTGACGTTAGCCTGGTGGAGGGCGGCAATGACATCACAGGCAGTACTAATTTTAAGGAACTCCCTGGCAAAGAAGGAAACAGAGTGGATGCCGGCAGCCAAAATGCTCACCAAGGGAAAGTAGAGTTTCACTACCCTCCGGCACCTTCAAAAGAGAAAAGAAAAGAAGGCAGCAGAGATGCAACTGAAAGTACCAATTATAATGAAATTCCAAAAAATGGCAAAGGTGGTGCTAGAAAAGGTACACAACACTCTGATAGGAATCAAGTGACCTTGAATGAAAAACAAAGATTTTCTAGTAAGGGCAAAAGTCAGGGTCTGGTCATTCCTTCTCATGATCTGGATAATGAAATTAAAAATGAAGTAGGTTCCCATAATGGCCCCAATAATAACAGGAATATAATAACACACAGCAGAGAAAATCACTACGTACCCCACAGACAAAATAACTCTGTACGAAATAAGGGTATGCCACGAAGGAAAGGCCCCTGGGGTTATAGAAAAACCCATTCCAACAGGAGTTTTGGCCCCTCTGAAAAGGACGACAGTAGTGACTCATCCGACAGTGGCAGTTCCAGTGAGAGTGATGGTGACTAGTCCACTAGGAATTCCCAGCAGGGTAGCAGTTCGAATACCCAGTCCTCTGTGAGTTGATGGTGAAGGAGAGCAGCTGACAGCAGACCCGATGAAGAGAGGACAGAGTGGGGACCTGAGTTAGCCAAGGAGCCTGGTCTCCTTGTGGGAATTTTTGCTATTTTAATCATCATAGTATAAAACTCTATTCGAAGTTATAACAGTCTTTTTTTTTTTTTTTGAATTTTTGCTATTTTAATCATCATAGTATAAAACTCTATTCGAAGTTATAACAGTCTTTTTAAACACACACACAAAAAAACTCATTAAAGATTTATGAACTGGTCACATTTGAATAGGTGTCCTTTAAAAATAGTTTGTGAACGGGAGCGCCACTGCGCTTCCCAAGCGGCGCACTATCCAGTGCGCCACCGGGCCGGCCCTATAACAGTCTTTTTAAACACACACACAAAAAAACTCATTAAAGATTTATGAACTGGTCACATTTGAATAGGTGTCCTTTAAAAATAGTTTGTGAATGTCACAAATGGCCTGCTGTGTTGTTTGCCCTGTAGAGATGAAAATAAACAATATCTTTCTGTGATAATCTGTAATTAAATGATCTGTAGGAAGCTCTGTTGTCTGGGGTGCTTCATTTCAGAGTCAACATGACGAGTTCTGCCTCTGGCAAAGGCGGTGCCTGTGAGATGAATCCTCCGGATAAGGTCTGAAGGCGCCCCCAGCCCGCGCTGTGCCAGCCGGCGTTGCCTTCTCCCCGGACCTCCCTCTGCTCTGATAAACACATCCTACTTCATATCCTTCTACGCTCCTCCCTCTGCTGCACATTCATAACTTCTTACAAGGCAAATATTATTTTCTGAAACAAATCTCCACACTATCATTTTTCTCAATTCTACCTCCTTCCAGACAAAGAGGAAAATAAGGTGGAGGTGGCAGGGAGGATTTGAGGAGAAACACAAATGCGAAGCCCGAAACAAAGATTTAATTTGACAGATAATATTCATCAACTGATCCCCAAACATTTCCAGCTTATTTCTTTCCTTCATCTTTTAGTATAGATGCTTTTCCAGCTGATGACGCCTGTGACCATTCTGGAAATTAGACCTAATCTCCTGGTAGGGGAGGGGAGCAGAATTCTGGAAGGCTTTGCCTCTTCCCGAGAAGAGGAACTTATAGAGCTGGTAAATTATATAAGTTCTCTTCCTCCTGTCTTACCCTCTTTTTGACTTAATATGAACATGATGCCTGGAGGTACAGCAGCCATTTTGTGGCCATGAGGGAAAGGACAAAATCATCATACAGATGTCACTGAACCAGCTTCATGAGCCTCCTGCCTCCAGGGTCCTTGTTCTGTGAGAAAAAATAATTTCCTATTTGTTAAGCCATTGCCCTTTTTTTGTAATTGATCACTAGATTGAATTCCTCATTGATACACCTTTCTATTCCTGACATTCTTCTAAATGAGGAGAGCCAAAAGAAGGAGGAAGGGAGAGGTAGCAGATAGAAAAAGAAAAGTGCATCTTATTTCTCTTATCTCTGTAAGATGTAAGTTCCCAAACAGCAGAAATTACAGCTGGCACATTCTGTGCAGCTCCTAGATTATTGAGTTGAATAATGTATGTAGCAAAAGTGAGTACAAATCAATGTCATACAACATAATAGAGCCTCTTAAAGCCCGAATTCCCACATTAGGTAGATAAAAGATATTTTTTTACTAAACAAAAGTGCCAATATAAGCTATGGAATAAGTTAGATTCTCCACATACACACAAATTATAATTGCTGATATGATTTACATATTTATCATGTGCCATGCTCAGCTAAATCTTGTAATCTGCTCAGCTAATCTATAGTATGGGTGCCATTATTATCCCCATTTTACAGATAAGGAAACAGAAACACAAAATCGTAGATAAGTGTCCCAAATGGTAAGCTAGGATTTGTACCCAGGGAGTCTGTCTCCAGGGTCTTTGCTCTTAAACACTGACTATACTGTCCTATATTACATAGATAGTCGTACATAATACACATACATGAATGTATGTATATAGACTTATATGTATATACACAAACATGCAAACATGGATGGAGTGTGTATATGTTCATGCACATCTATGAATATGTGTGAGTATATGTGTGTAGATGCACACACGCACATATGTACAGTCATGCATCTTTTAACAACGGGGATACATTCTGAGAAATGCGTTGTTGGGCAATTTCTTTGTTGTGCAATTTCTTTGTTGTGCCAATGTCGTACGGTGTGCTTACACAAACCAAGATGGTATAGCCTACTACACACCTAGGCTATGTTGTATAGCCTGTTGCTCCTAGGCTACAAACCTGTACAGCATGTTACTGTACTAAATACCATAGGCAATTGTAACACAATGGTAAGTATCTGTGTATCTAAACATAGAAGAGGTAGAGTGGAAATATGGTATGAAAGATAAAGAATGGTGCACCTGTACAGGGCACTTACCATGAATGAAGCTGGCAGGACTGGAAACTGCTTTGGGTGGGTCAGTGAGTGAGTGTGAAGGCCTAGGACACTGTACACTGCTGTAGACTTTATTATAAACACTGTACACTTAGGTTACACTAAATTTATACAGAAATAAAGTACTCATGCTATGACATTACAACAGCTACCATGTCACTAGGTGATAGAAACCTTTTAGCTCCATTATAATCTTATGGGGCCACCATCATGTATGTGGTCCATCATTGACGGAAACATCATGACGTGGCACAAGACTATATATACATATATCTACTGTATATTTATACATACAGAGAGAGAGAGAGAGACTTGAAGGAAATGCTAACTAGAACCTGAAAACAAGAAATACTTCTTTCCCTTATTTGTTCTCCATCTTCTGGACATAGCAGACATCAGTATCAATGAAAAGACTTAACATATCACCCAATGTCACCATCAGAATTTCAGAATAATCTATTCCTAGTACTTTGTTTCTTTTATAAAAGACAACTTTGTGGGGTAGTGAGTGAGTTCTTGCTGTATTAGTTCCCATGAGAGCTGATGTTTAAAGGACGCTGGCACCTCCTCTCTCTCTTGCTTCCTCTCGCCATGTGATTTTCCTGTAACCACCCGCTGCCTGCCGCTTTTCTGCCAGGAGTAGAAACAGCCTGAGGCCCGTGCCAGATGCAACCATCTCAGAATCGCAAGCCAAATAAACTTCTTTTCTTATAAATTACCCAGTGGGGGGGGGGGGGGGAACTGGAGGCAATTAATGAAGTAAAGAAAGCTGTATCAGAATTTAAATTGCAAATAAATGGGTTGAAATCAGTCTGCTGCTTATATTCCAGGCTGTCTCAGACTTTTACATTTGAATGGGCTGATCACTCGATGTGGTAAAGGAGAAATATGAACTGATGGAGAAAACAAATGCTTTCTTTGGGTAGTTACAGGTGGGACCTTCCAAAGGTCATTTGTTCTAGTCTGCTGTCTAGTGGAAAAACTGCATTTCACTTTTCTCATCAGATTTTGTTTCATCTCTCCAAACTTGAGTGTTCCCGGATATTTTTTCAAAACACGGACTATGTTCATATTTTCTTCATCCATTTAAGGGAAACTAGAAAAGTTTCGATATCTGCGATGCATTGCTATCGGATGCAGACATAGAGGACTTAGTTCAAACGTGGAGAAGGACCAGATATCCACAAGGACAGCCTGCAGTCAGGAGTGCGGCCTGTGACTCATCCAAACCCATGTTTCAGCCATCAAGCTTCACTATCTTCACTTTTTAAAAAAAATAAACATAGATTTCCAAAATAGGGCAGAAAATCTCAGCCTCATGGAGCTGCCTTATAAGAGATGATTTATATGGACGTAGTCTGCCCCCTTGTGCCCAAAATGAAAAGGTTGCTGGTCGCTGTTACCAGTGCTGGGAGGGGACTGCAGGCTGCCATTTATTTGCATGCCTGCTACTCCCTCCAACCTCACCTTCCAGATTTCTCTGCTTGTAAATATCTATCTCGATTTTGCAGCCCTAGTTAATCTGTTCTTGGCAACTCCAGCAAGGCAGGGCAAGATATCTGATCCTGTTTGGCATAACATTCAACTCAGCTGAAAAACATTTACTGAGTGAACACATTTTATAAAACTCTGTGGGGATCAAAAGAAGAAGAAAAGAGATGCTCCTGGCCTTTATCAAGACTGCAATTTAGTCAAGGAGAAAGGCATACAAAAGATATAAGGCAGAAGGTGGTGATAATAGAAATATCAATAAAGGGATGTAGGGGTTCTGAGGAAGGGGATGAACTCTAGCCGAAGGGAAGAGAGAGCATACAGTAAAATCCATTTCCCTCAGGGCATTACACATTTAGAGAGGCTGCAGACAGTAAGTCTCAGCAAATAAATAAGAGCCTCACAGTCTGTTACCGGCACAAGGTCCGGCTGCCTGCCCCCTTCCAAAAATAAACCACTCAAAAGTCAAATGTTGGTGAAAATGGAAGTCAGCTTTTACTCAGTTACACTGTTGACCTGAGAGAGATGTTAGGCTCACCCGTCTTTCCTTTAAACTTGAAGGAGAAGGGCCAGACTATAACCATCTCCAAGACTCAGGTTTACTGAGGGGTTTTAAAGAGGGGGCTGAGGGAATGGAACGTGGGAAATGAAAAGCAAGAGGGGACATGAGCAGCGAGGGCTTCATGAGGTCTCAGGTGCAGAGTCTCGCCGAGACTCCGAGTGGTTTCTGCTCCCGTCCTTATCTCAGGGTCCAGCTGGATAGTACGTGCCTTGTTGCGAGTCTGCAGCTTCAGGCTGGCTGGAAAACAACTTTACATTCATGTACATAATGTCATCGTGCCCCATAACCGAGGTTCAAAATGTCAAATAACCATGGGAAAAGAGGGAACCCAGAGGAATGAATGCCAAGAAAAAAAAAATGTGTCCTTTTAAAATCTTGCAGAACCCATGCAGTTTCAGGTCCCAGTATAGCTTTAGTCCTGTTCACTCCAACAACTTGATGACCTTACAT